CTGCCGGTCTTCTACCAGGACCTTCTCCGGACCTGGAAGCTTTTCTCGGCGACCAGGTCCACCGTGGCCACCGAGGGTGTGGATCTCCTCGCGGAGCCCCTGCTGCACAATCCCGATCTCCGTGTGCAGGTGGCGGAGTCACCCTCGGTGAGCCGGAGGTTGGTCCTGGCGGAAACCACCAGGGTCGGAGACCTCCTGGACTACACCAGAGGGGACTGGGTGGATCCCCGCGCGCTTGGTCGGCGCATGGGGCTCTCCAACCTCGCGCCCCCCCCGCGCCCCGCGCCCAGGTAGGGGCCCCCCCAACCAATGTCCCCGGCGGGCCTTGGAACTAAGGTGGAATAAAGGCTGGCACACCGGGGCTCCTCACCCTCCACAGGTAGCAGATAGTCCCTCCACTTGGTGTCGGGGCGGGACACGAGGGTGAGGTGATGCAACGTGTGGAGCACGAGCGTGTACAGGTGGTCTCTGGACGCGGTCCGAAACCGAACCGGCTGCAAAGTGTGCAGCCGGCTCGGATTATGGGAACGGGGGAGCCGGGGGGGCTCACGGAACAGGGGCCCGATAAAAAGATCCGGAGGGCCCGGGGTGAGGGGTGGGCGGGGAGCGCCCTCCCGCAGGGCCCGCCACAGGAAGCCGAGAGCAGGAGGTGACAATGCAGCGCCCACCTCCTGGAGTACACGCAGAGGGGTCGCGAGGGTGGAGAGCCCCATGCGCCGACCAAGCGCGCGGGGATCCACCCAGTCCCCTCTGGTGTAGTCCAGGAGGTCTCCGACCCTGGTGGTTTCCGCCAGGACCAACCTCCGGCTCACCGAGGGTGACTCCGCCACCTGCACACGGAGATCAGGATTGTGCAGCAGGGGCTCCGCGAGGAGATCCGCGCCCTCGGTGGCCACAGTGGACCTGGTCGCCGAGAAAAGCTTCCAGGTCCGGAGAAGGTCCTGGTAGAAGACCGGCAGCTCCGAGAGGTCTCGCGGAAGACCTCTCGTGTGAAGAAAAAGGAGCTGCCGGTCGTATCGGAGCCCTCGGAGGCGGCGGAGGAAGGCGTGCGCTAACGTGCTCCATGCCGGACTACCTGCACCATAAAGGAGCCTCTGCAGGGCCTGGAGGCGGAAGACATGGACCTGGCTACGAAGGCAGACCAGGCCCTGTCCCCCCTCCTCCAGGGGAAGACTCAGAACCCCTGCAGAGACCCAGTGCAGTCCAGGCCAGAAGAACTCCAGGGCTATCCTCTGGAGCCTGGCCAGGAGTCCCGGGGTCGGGCTCAGGGTGTTGAGCCGGTGCCAGAGCATGGACAGGACGAGCTGGTTCAGCACCAGCGCCCTCCCTCGCAGGGAGAGACACCGGAGCAGTCCCGTCCATCTCCGCAACCGCTCACCCACCCTGGCCTCCAAATCCTGCCAGTTCTCCGGCGGAGAAGGATGCGTGGCGGAAAGGTAGACGCCGAGATAGAGCAGCGGACCCGCGCTCCACCGAATGGCTTGAAGCGTGGGCGGGAGGGAGCTGGCCTGCCACCCGTCCCCGACCACCAGGCCAGAGCTAGCCACCAGGAGCCGCCGGGCCTGCCCTGTGCCCGCTAGCTGGAGGAGCCGCCGGGCCTGCCGATCAATCCCTGCCCTGACGAACCCATGGTCCTGCATCCCCCAGAAGCTGACACCAGGACCCAGGTAGGCCCCGAGGGGGAGTGTGGAAGTAGCCCGGGGGCAGCCGACCCCAGTCTGTCTGCAGCACTGCCAGAGCCTATGTCAGTGTGTTGCGGCCAGGATCCCCACTGACTAAGCAGTGGGTCTTCTGCCGCTGTTAGGGCCCCGGGCTGGGACGCAGTGGAGAGGGAGGGCCTACGTCCCCCCTGCCACCCGACCCGTGGGTGGCAGTCTCCCCCTCTCCCAGGCCTTTTGAGGCTTGGGGCCTACTATTGTTGCTCAGCCCTGACTGAGGGCTTGAGCTCCTGACTCAGCATTTGTTGCCCCGCCCTGACCTAGGGCCTGGGCTTAAGTACCTTGTACTATTGTTGCTCAGCTCTGACTGAGGGCCTGAGCTCCTGACGCAGAGTTTGTTGCCCCGCCCCGACCTAAGGCCTGGGCTTAATACTTAGTGCTCGTTTCTTGCTCAGTCCTGACTGAGGGCCTGAGCTCCGGACTTCGCATTATTGCCCACCCTGAGCAGGGCCGGGCTTACCGTGTTCTTCCGGTTACAGCAAAAACTGCCGAGGGAGACCCCATGGCCGGACGAATTTCCCTAGCTCACCAGTGTCTAGCAAGCCGGTGTGGCTCCCCGCCACCCCGGAGAGGGTCGAGCCCCGGCAAACTCTTGTACAGTAACACTAAGATCTTATTTCTATTTGAAAAGCTATACATTTTGGCGGGTGATGTGTCATCTAAGTATCCATGCAGGTGCCTTTTTAGGTACTGTTGGCATCTGAGAATTACATTGTGTTCGTTTGGATTACAGAATATTTCTCGTACCTGTTCTGTGTCTAATCAATAAATCAAGAAACCCTGACAAATAACTTTAAAACTGGCTGCCTAAATTTAGGATCTTAAATCCTTATTTAGGCTCAAGATCTATGACCAAATTTTCAAAAGTGCTGAGCACTCAGCAGCTCCTATTGACATCAATGGGTGTTCAGCACTTCTGAAATTCAGGCTCCTCATTTTGGTGACTAATATGAACTCTTAAGTTTGGATTCTTAAATTTAGTCAGCAATGCTCAGATCCACAAAGGGACTCAATGTCACGACACCTAACTTTTAGGCATCTAGAAGGGGGATTTGGGCTTGAGCCTGAGTCTGGCTTACATTGCAGTATAGACAAACCTTAAGGAGTCTATCTCTGGGAGAGGGACAGGGCTTAAGACACACCTTGTTATCATCTCCTATTGGCTTGCTTAGGCAGAGAATGGCTTTTTATGGCTCTCATTCTTAGGCACTTATCTCTCACCATTCATTGTATAGGAAGCCTGGACGCCTAACTCAGGCTTTGTGAATCACTGTGATTCACAAAGTGGAGTATCTTAAATCCAGTCCCTCTCCTGGAGATAGGCTCCTAAAGGTATGCCTACATTGCAATGTCATTTCAGGCTCAAGCCCAAATCCCCCTTCTGTGTGTACACAAGTCTGTCAGACTCATGCCAATATGCCCTCAGGACCCGGTGGGGAGAGGTCTGAGCCCAAATCCCACTGGGACTCAGGCCAAACTCCATGTTAGTGTGGATGTAGCTCGGGCCCAGGTCCCGAGACTTGTGTCCTGAGAGTCTGCCAATGCTATTCCAAGGAGCCAGTGTTCCTTGCCATTTCTATCCCAATACTGGCCAATCGACTCCCACGAAATGGAAGCAACCCCCTGGTTCAAGTTCAGCTGCTCAGTATGTAACCCTTCCATTTTATTCTACCACTGAAGTGCAAGCAGAATGAACCTTCTCCTGAGTTGGCTATGTCCACCGACAAGAAGTTCTTTGCGACGCGTGCTGCTACCTGGTCATGGGACTACAGTCAGATACCGGTAAATCTTTGGTGTGAGGTGAGCAAAATGTCCAACTTTGGTAAGAGTAGAAATTACCTGTGTAACAAGAAACAGCCGACAAGCTAGCAGCATTGGGGATTAAATGGACTGGTGATCAGTGCAGGGAGCAAATTATGTGGCTCAAGAGTGACAATCGGAAAGCCAGGGATGAGAACCACACCTCTGGGAACTCCCTGTCATCCTGCCTCTTTTATGAGGACTTTGCCCAGGTGCTGGGTACTGCACTGAGCCAACAACAGTTCACAATAGCCTGATCAACCAGGATCAACCTTCTAACCCCCAAATCTAATACACCACAGTGGAGCCAGCAGCTGCTGGATCAGGCTAGCAAAGTGACTGGTGCTGATGCCAATGACCAGTGAAGCTTTACCACTGGAGCAGCTGCAGCCCATCCTGGGTCCATACATGGAGGAGCTGTTTGATGACCATCCCCCTCCAGAACAGAAGCCCACAGCAGAACCACCAGGAGAAACAGAAGAATCAGAAGTAGTCCTGGAATCTGATAAGTTTCTGGCTCCATGTCCAGTGTTATTAATACACGAATAAGAGGGATTTCCGGTTTATGACCCAATGCAATTTTGTTTACATACCACCATAGCAGCGTGTAGCCACTCATGGCAGAATGCATGCTAGCGCCTTGACATCTCCCACCCACCCCCAACACGATGTCGAATTCAAAATGGAGACCGGGAAGCGCAAACAGCAGTAACACAATCATATACAATGACATTTTTACTGGATACTCTCACATTCTTACAAAGATGTGCTTTGGTGTTAAAAGTAAGAACTTTTATATTGCTTTCTCTTATAGTAAGCCGCACTGTACAAATTGATCAAGCTACACTGTAAACTGTATGGGGGAGGGGAAATCCTGTCTGAAATATGGCAGGGAGGGTTGTATGCAGTCCAGAAATGTGCTGGCAAAGGGGGGAGGGGTGGTGATGGCTGTTCTCTGAGAGTCTGTATTGTCCCGTGTGTGTTTGTGGTCCATAGGTAGATATAGTCTGAGCAGGTGATATCATAAGCCATAGCTGCACCCGGGTAACTGCATGAACCCAGAGAGACTTCAGCAGCTTACAGGGAGGCAGTAAACCATGTGGATGCTAGCACAGCACCCTGTTAATCCCCCCAGGAATTTTGACCCAATGCTGGGTGCTGATAGCTGCAAACTTTTTCCCAGAGTAGGCACTCCAGATGGGTAGTAACATTTCGGGAAAGAGCATGTCTTCCGGGCCTCCATCCGTAAGTCACCAGCCATTCCATTTGTAGATATGTTGCTCAGTTACCAGGAGCTTGGAAACATCTTTGGTATACATGGGTGGGTTGCTCCTATGCCCCTTTGCAGTCAGGAACCTCCAGGATTGTTATGTCCTCCAGAATGTGGCATGCCTGAAAAGATTAAGAAACCAAGGGTAGTAAACCACAGCAACTGTATCGCCCCAAGCTAAAATGGTCTGCAATTTTTAAACAATATCACTTGTAAATTTCATCTTGGCATTATGTGTGAAGGCTGTGCATTCTGCTTAACTCTCAGTCCAGGGAACAGGAGTCCTATATCCATGGCCCTGGCGCAGGTAAGAAACTCCATTCACTCAAAACCATCAGTTATTTCAGGGATATTGTCTATGCTCACCACCTTTGGGTAAATCACATGCCTGAACACCTCAGAAACCTCCACCATCACAGCCCCCACCCTCAATTTGCCAACACCAAGCTGGTTAGCAACAGACCTGTAGTGGTCAGGAGTGATAAGCTCCAAATGGCTATAGCAACCTGCTTCTGGACCTCTATGGCCACCCTACTGTGTGTCCTGTCACCAGAGGGTTGGGGCAAGTTGATCACAAAGTTCCAGAAATGGAAAATTTGGCTGTTTCGATCTTGGCTGTGCAACGTTTTACTTTGTAAAATCATGCCTACTGTGCATACAAGTAGGGATCGTGCTTTTCCTAGGTATAAGAGACATTTATATGCTCTTACATGGGAATAACAGCAGTGTCAATTACAATTATCATATCGAACAGCTTTTATGATAGCGTTAAATGCACTCTGAATGGAAAAGCATAAAGCACCCCTCTGCCTACGTGCAGTTATCATACCTGGAAAAATGTTAGCTAATACACTACTCTGAATGAAAGAACCACTTAATGCTTTCTTATATAAAATCATCACATGTAATTTCATGTAGCATGGTATAAGCAGGGCACCCTCATGAGTAATTATCCTTGCTGGAAAACATGTAAAATAGTGACATTCATGAAAGTGAACAATATTCACATGTTGAAACTGAAGTGTTTTCATGAATTCACAATAACAGTATACTTCAAAAGAGAACCACTCATGCATTTTGGAAAGGGACACTGCAGATACAGCTTGTGACAGTCACTGAAGTAAAACCTATACTGAGATTTTTATTTTATTTCTTTGTTAATTCCCTAGAGTATCCTTTACCACTTGTGTGCATATATATATATATATATATATGCACACATCTATTGATGGCTGATGTTACACACTAAGGTCATCTGAGTAAAGTTAAGCACAGCTCGTAGGCGCCAACTCTGTGCATGCTCCAGCCCAGTAGCACTCACGGGGAACAAAGTGGTGGGTACTGAGCACCCCTTGCAACCCCCTTATCAGCTCACCTCTTCCCCCGCCCCCCCCCCAGTGCCTTCCACCCACCTGCCTGGCTGATCAGTACTTCCCCCTCTCATCCGCCACAATCAGCTGTTTTGTGGCATGCAGGAAGCTGTGGGGTTGGGGGGAAGAGGGAGGAGAAAGGACAAGGTGTGCTTGGGGGCAGAACAGGGCAGAAGGAAGGGGGGCTTGGGAAAAGGGGTGGGGTGGGGGCATGAAGAGGGAGGGTGGAGCTGGGGGTGGGAAGAGGTGGGGGGTCAACCACCCTCCAACACGTTGGAAAGTCGGTGCCTGTGGCAGAGCTGTAAACCTTTTGCCAGACTTAATGACCAGTCTGTACAACAGGTCACTCTGAAGTAAATACAGTGGTGCATGTACAGCTGTTTTGGAGATAGCAAGTGTTGCGTATCCCTAGTGCAGCAGTTCTCAAACTGTGAGTTAGGACCCCAAAGTGGAGCATGATCCTATTTTAATGGGGTTGCTAGGGCTGGCATTAGACTTGCTGGGGCCTAGGCCTGAAGACCACGCCCCACCACCCAGGCCCAAGGGCTTCAGCCCTGGGCGGTGGAGCTCAGGTTACAGGCCCCCTGCCCAGGGCTGAAATCTTTGGCTTTACCACACCCGTCCTGGGGGCGGCCCCGCTTCACCCCATCCCAATCCAGGGGCTGCGTTTTGCTGCCGACCCGCACGGCTGGTGCCAGCCCAGATCTCAGGGGGTGGCTCTGCCTCCCGCCGACGGGCCAGGGCGGGGTAGGCAGGGAGCTGGACCGTGTAGCACATTGTTCCAGCACCTCTGTCTACCGGGGCCACCTGCACCCCGAGGGGTTGGTGGGGCCCAGCCCGGGGGGGCGCTAGACGCGGAGCTCTGAGTGCAGCGGGAGCTGTTCCCCCGGGGATGGCGGGTGAGACGGGGCAGCCGGCGGGCAATGCGCAGACCCCGCCTCCTCCTGGAGCACGAGACGCGATTCAAGCCGATGGTCGTAGGGGGGCTTCGCGCATGCGCCAGAGCAGAGGCTGTCCTCATTGTGGGGAGGGGGAGAGCGCGCGTCGGCCGCTACCTCGCGCAGTCAGGCGGGCTGTACCACTGTGTAACGCGGAGGGTGGAGCCCTATACCCATTTCCTTTGTAACGGGGGCGCCTTCCACCGCCTCCCGTTCGGGCCAGGTGGGGGGCTCTCTCCGCGCGGCTTCGCGTCCAGCGCTGGAGGGCGGCGGGCGAACGGAGCGAGGGACGCGGTGCGAGGGGACGCGCACCAACCCCCTCCCCCCGGCCCCAGCCGCAGAGTGGGCGCGCCCCCCTTCCCCGCTGTTGATGGTCGGGTCGATGCGTTGCTGCTGCCGCTGCCCCCGGCGTCGCGAGTTCACGCTCGCTCAGCTCCCTCCCGCCCGGCTCGGCCTCAGCCTCCCGGCGGCCCCATGGCGTACAGTCAGGGCGGCGGCAAGAAGAAAGTCTGTTATTACTATGACGGTGAGCGGCGGGGCCGGGGGGAGCGGCGGCACCACGAGCCGAGGGACGCGGAACGCTGGTTCCCCGGCTCCCCCCGGGTTCTCCGTCTCGATCGCAGCCCCTGGGCCCCCCGGGAGCTCTCCCGCCCCCCGCGCAGCCGCCCCACCAACCCCGGCGCGGGGTGTTTGGCTCCAGGCACGGCTGGGTCTGAACAGCTGGTGGCGGCTCCGCCTAGGGACCGCGGCTGCGGGCTGTTGGGGCCGAGCGCAGCCCCCGTTATCAAGGCGACGCTCTTACCGCCTGGTGTAGCAGCTGGGGAGCCTCCCGCTGGGGGCCTCCGTGTTTCATACGGAGAAGCGGGTGGCTGAGGGCGATGGACCGCAGCGGCTGCCCCTTGTGTTGTGGCAGCCTCCTGGCCGCGGAAAAACACCATCGCGCGCACGACCGTTTGCTGATGTGTCTGCACATCTTGGCTCGGGGTGCTCCCATGCTCATCGATTCCGCAAACCACGTCTTGTGACTTATCTGACCAATAATACATAGCTAAGCCATGTTTGAAATTTGGGCTGCTTTGCATTGAGGGTCATGTATTTGCAGCACACCGTAAGGTGGAAACCTCCCTGTCTGCCACCCCCAAAAAATCCCCACTCTACACAGAGCAGGAAAGTTCCCTTTGCTCGCTGACTTTCTGCTCGCAGCGTGAGGCTAAAGTTATTGGTCAGATTACTTGCTTGGGGCTAAATTTCTGCATAAATAAAGATGCATGGGGTAGGTTTTACTCTTGACGGTTGAGAATGGGTGGCATGGATGGGGAATTTTGATGTTTGAGGTAGTGAAGAAAGGTAATGAGACTGCTTTGTAGTTCCTATTATATGCATTGTCATAATTTGAGATATGGAGAGCAGTGTCTCCAGCCTAGGATGCCAAAGGTGCTACTGCTGTGGTAGATTGGTTGGTCAGAAATCCCAGACCTGAAGAAGAGCTCTATGTGGCTCAAAAGCTCTCTTTCACCAATAGAAGTTGGTCCAACAAAAGAGATTTCCTCACCTACCTTGTCTATTCAGAAAAATGGCAGATTTGTTGGGGCCTAGTCAGGGTTTCTAACATACTGCCAAGTCAGGCAGAGTTGTGTGGTTGCCGCCCCCTTCTCTTTGTCCTTCTCTCTGCTTCTTTGTTCAGCATAAGGGGGAAAGGAGGCCCCTATTAAGGAGAATTTTGCTGAAACTGGGATCTGACTTTTCTCTGGTAGAAGAGTAGGCACTGTTAGTCTTGCTTAAGGGAAGATTGCATTGATATTTGTTTATATTTGCCTGTCTTGCAACTAAAAATGTAGGTATACAGTTGTGCCAATGTATCAGAAAAAGCAAAGTCTATTTGATAAATATAGGTACCATTTCATTAGAGTGCAGTACTCTGGCATTTTAATAGTAGCATAAGAATTGTAAGCACCATTGCTTGGATCTCTACATAGCTGAAAAATTGCACAGGGGAGGGGGAAGAAAAAAGCACTGGGTTAAGGAACAGTTCTGTGTTGGCATGGTGATGAACTAGTGATCAAATTGATCTCAACCACCTCAGATTTCCATGAAAATGGATGTTCCTGTGGTCAGTTGGAAACTCAGTATTTTTCTCCATGATAGTTCAGACTCCTCATTTTTTAACATTTTTCTGGCTCTGTCAGAATATTTTTCCCATTGTCTACTGTGATCATCAATATTCCTAGTATTCATCTGGGTTAGAACGTTTCAGAAGACTTTAAAAAAAAATATGAAACCAACATTGAATAAAGTGCCAAAGTTAATGGTTATTTTAGACTTTCTTTCCAAATGTAATAGGTCAAAACTGCACACTTAGGAATTAGCAAAGCTCATCAGAGAAATTTTTAAAACTAATTCTCATACCTCTGGGAAAAGTTCCTAATTCACTTACAGTTCATTCAGCATTTCTTCTAATTTCTATGCTGTGTTGTACCCACAGAGGTTTGTAAATATTCCTCCTACTCTATGTAAAGGGAAAAGGGCTCACAACCTTAAATGATATAAAAGTTGTAATATGAAAATACTACAACAGATAGGGAAGTACATCTGTGGGTGGATGCAAACTTACACATAACTGACAACATCAAACTGGAGTTCATTAAAGATTTCTTCGCAGTTTGTTGTGTCAAAGACTTTTGTATAGAAACATGGCTCCTTCATTTAAGTTTTGCTTCTAATTTTCACTTAGTTTCTCTGAAAATATGTAGAAGTCAAGAAGTGTACACTAAAAATTCCAGTATAAAAGAGGCACTGTAATTCAATGTAGTGTGTTTTAAGTTGTAATCTAGTACCTTCCCTGCTTTGTAATAATTTTAGTATGGTTATTGGCAGAGAAAAGTTACTATTTCAAATCAGCGTTTCACTTTGAAAATCTGCTTACTGTATGTATTGAAATTAACATCTGCCTGTCTTATTGACAGTTTTGGTACCTTTAAATCTTGTTAGTACGGCAAAACTCAGCAATGGGAGAACTAGCTTGATTTTACTCCAATTTATGCTTGTAACAGAGTTGTTAACTAAGTCCATGTTGCAGAATTTTTATTGCTGGTGGTGATGTGTTGAGCTAGAAAGAACCCTAGCTTGACTTTCAAATCGTAGGCTAACTGCAGTGAAGGGAACATTATTTTACTTGAACTGAGGAAGTATGTTACAGAAATTCTGAGATAAATGCACAAACCCATGATGCTATTTTTAGAGTAAATTCATTCTATTGCCAGCCTTCAGAATTGGTATGTGTGGGCTTTAAGGGTATGTTCACACTGCATTGTAAACTCAGGTCTATGGGACCTGTTCTTGTTCAATGTTCCCAAACCTGTGTTTAAGCATATACCTTATATTGTAAACTTGGCCTGACAGTTGCTGGACCTGGATCTCACAGCCATGCTAACATGTCCATGCTGCCCTATGCAGACCTTCAGACTTGGTTCTGTGGGTTCAGTTGCATCCACAGTGCAAATATGGTGAGGCTTGGGCTCTGACTCACTCCAGCATGGTCCTGAGTGCTTGTTGACCTGAGTCAGACTGATTTGTGTGTGGAGGGAAAGGAGGTGGAGGGCTCAAACATGAATCAGAGCTGGGGAATAGTGTGTGATGTAGACAATATAGTATATTAAAATGGTATTTTGTTGGTTTATAAGTGTCTCTTACGTCCTTGTTTACATTGACTAGAACAGTGCTTAGATACAGTTTTGTAGAACCATATTGTACAGTTTTCTAACAATACTGTAACTAGCAGAGTTGCAGCTGATGAGTAGATTCATAGACTCCAAGATAAGAAGGGACCCTCATGCAGTCTGACCTGCATAATCCAGGTCATAGAAGTTCCCCAAAATAATTCTTAAAGCATAGTTTAGAAAAACATCCAGTCTTGATTTAAAATTGCCAGTGACCGTTGGTAAACTGTCCCAATGGTTAATTACCCTGTTAAAAATTCACATCTTAATTTTCTTTTTGAATTTGTCTAGCTTCAACTTCCAGCCATTGGATCTTGTTATATCTTTGCTAGATTGAAGAGTCCTTTAGCATATTTGTTCCCCATGTAGGTACCTATAAACTATAATGAAGTCATCCTTTAACCTTCTCTTTGTTAACCTAAATAAATTGAGCTCATTGAGTCTCTTACTGTAGGTATGGTATGTTTTCTAATCCTTTGATTTTTTGGCTCTTCTCTGAACCCTCTCCAATTTATTAACATCCTTCCTGAAATGTAGATATCAGAACTCGATGCAGAACTCCAGCAGCTGTCGCACCAGTGCCAAATACAAGAGGAAAATAACCTCTAATCCTACTTGTGTTAGCCTTTTTGGCCACAGCGTTGCACTGGGAGCGCACATTCAGCTGATTATTCCCAAAAAATTTTGAGTCACTGCTTCCTAGAATAGAGTCCTCCATCTTGTACACACTCAGGAACAAGGAATATATGCCATACTTTGTTTTAATATGGCTAAAAGTAAATCTTACATTGTTGGCTTGCCTCCCAGTTTACCAAGCAATCCGATCACTCTGTCAGTGACCTGTCCTCTTTACTATTTACCCCTCCCCCAATTCTTTTGTCAGCTTCAAACTTTATCAGAGATATTTTGTTTTCTTCCAGGTCATTGATATATTGTAGGCAAACATTACAAGTAGTTTTATATTATCTTTCTTATATATATCTTGCATAATTTAATATGGATGTTTAAAAGATCCCTTCTGCACTGATATTGTAGAGATCTAGGCTGGAATATGTTCCACATAGGCAAGACTAAACCCGTTTGAATTATGAGCAGGGCACTACTGTGCTCAAATACAGTAACATTTGTAATGTAAATCAGCCACAGTTCAGCATGTTATAGGCATATGTAAAGTTTTCTAAAACTGAAAACTATTTCATACATGTTTCCAAGTCTTGCGCCTAATAGTCTGGAAACCCATACATCAGCCTCCGTGCTGTGTTTCTATAATGGTACTAGGCTGGTCTTCGATTGTAGTAGTGGCTATGCTGGCAAATTTGACATGCTAAGAAAAAACTTTGGACACACAACTAGTAGAAAAGACTGAAGTGAATGTGCAGATCTTAGGATTGGCTGACTACCTTTCCAAATATTGCACCATGAATTTATCCACTGCTTTCTAGATACATTTGTGATTACTTTAGTAGAAACCATAACATTTTCACATAGAATTGAATGTGTGGGAGTAAATTATCACTTGGAAAAAAGAGAGTAATAGTTGCACAGTTACTTCAAGTGTAATGTTTTGGAAGTACATTATGGTAATATAGTGGCCAAATTTGTATTTCAGTTGAGCAGATGTGTATTGCCTTGTGTTGTGTTGTGCATGCATAATAACTTTTTATATGTAGCTTAATTTACAAAATGTGGTATACTCACTTTGGCTCTGATCCTACTAGTGTAAGACTGACTTCTTAATTGTACTTGTTACTGAACTGACTTGAAAAACTTTATGCTACTGCTATAAAAATGCTTACTAAAGATGCAGCCTATTGAAGTGCTTCTACAGGCACTTGGCTGCTTTGTAAGCTTGCTAGTAGCTACTGAATACGCAAGCTACGTTTTTTTTTTTTTAAGCTTGATTTTTTTTTTTTTATAGTTAACAATAGTAGATCCCATTGAATTCAATGGGAGCTATGGGTATTTAGTACTTACAATGAAATAAAGAGTTAATCTAAAAAAAAACAACCCAAAACCTGTGCATACCTTTTAATTGTGGCTAACTGTTCTTTTAAATTCAGGACCATATCTACTCCAAAGAGAGCATTGTAGTAGGCAAGTATAATGTGCAGTTTAAAGTAAATACATCAGAGTTCAGAATGTGGCAATATACATATAGTAACTTTTTGTAAGTTTTGAAATATTTTAATTTCCATTAATGCTATGAAACAAACTGGGAGAAGCAAAAAAAAAAGTTGCTAGGACATCTGATCTCTATTGGTATTCCATTTTTATAGCATAACATGAGGACAATGTAGGGACAGAAAACAAACCTTATTTTTGAATTTCTATTTGGTTTGTCTCAGTTTATGCTTAGAAGAACTCTTGTGTATGACAGTGTCTCAGTGTTAGTGCAGTTATTTGTGACTGACAACCATATAATTGATATTGGCCAGACTTGGAAGCAATTGCTCGGTATCTTTCTTTGCTGAAACGCTCTTGTGATTAAAGTGGTGGATTTTCCTCTTGAGCCCCTTATGCCTTCTCCCAGAAATTGCTATCTTATTTTTTGTCTATTCTCTTTTATTTTACTGTCTCTGTACTTTTTTTCACTTATCTTTTTTTCTCCTCTTGATTTTCTTACTCTCTTTCCTTCCCCTCTATAGTTTTCGCCAGCTTACCAGAGATTCACATACACCGGCAAAAATCAGATGTGCATAATTCATCAGAGTAGTTGTGATAGAATATGTGGTCTTAGGGTAGTCATCAAGTTATATGTACATTTACAGCAGCGTGTAAAGTACAGAGACTTTTACGCCCAGCTATGATGGGTATAAATAGCAATGA